TGTAGAGATGTTGTGGAATGACGGTAGTTTGTTTGTAAAAAAGCGTTTCGTTGTGACTTTATGTGATTAAAGCATTTCTGCTCGAAGTAGAATAATTTCTCTTTGATAGGGGGATATGGTTCAGTCCTCGGTAAGACTAGAAAAATCCTAAACGGATTCGTCTTCATGGGATCTCTGGAGCTGAGTTAGGATCATTTTACTAAATGTTTGATCCAGCTGTAGATATTTCGAACTGAAATTTTGCCCATAAACAGATCGAATGAGTGGTAGAGTATCCGGAAAGATTCAATTGAAAAGAATGTTCTTTTATCGAGATATTGAATTTTCAAAAAAATAGTCATTTGTCACAGGAATTGTATTTGCTTGAAAATCCAATACTTCGACAAAGCAATATTCTTTTCGGTTCAAACTTTCAAGATATTCTATTAGTCATGCGAACTGTTTATGGACGAAATTTCAAATCGAAATACTGTTATTTGATTTTTCGGTAAATACCTAAAGCTGCATCGAAAATTCAGTAAAACGATTATAAGTCGGCTACAGAGTCTCACAGGGGTGAACCCTTCTAAGATTTTTCTAATCTCATCCAGATCTCCTTGTAAATTCAATATGAGCTTAAACGTAGATAGCACTTCGAATGATTTCCTCGTTAGTAAACTTTATCCCAATAAGTATTTATTAATACAACACTTACTAATATCAACAAGTGGATCACCAGCAGGTATAAAACGCCAGATTTTTGGTGGAATAAAAAGTTTAGAATTCATACTACAAAAATCAACATTTGGATTTTGACATTCTATAGGACATATAACATCTGTTAGAGTAATTGTATCATCATGATGAATACGTAATGTAAAATCATCAGGATAAATTATATTTATATCATTAATAAGTTCATTTAAGAAAAAAAGTGATTGATTATATTGAAATCTTTTATTTTCTTTTGGTCCATAAAGACTAATAGAAATAATACGTTGATGTGGTCCACGTCGAGTAGCATAATCACTACAAAGAAAAGTTTGATTTTCAGTTAGATTTAATATTAAATTAAAATCTAATGGAGGTAATTGATGTCTATAACATGTACATTCAGGTCGACGACGATAATTAAATCTTAATGAATTCATGGCAATAGGAGTATATTCAATAATATGTGATGTAAGAAAGAGAATAAAACTATATAAGATACTATTAAGTATATAATAGATAATGCGTGAACCATTAAAAGACCAAGGTGACAATCTCATAATAAACTTTTAAAGGTTGATTTAATTTTTGCTTTTTAAAGGTATTTTTCTCGTTGTGTTTGTTTTTCTTTCTTTAATCGGTTTTTTTTTCTTTCTACAGTAGATCATGTTAAAATACATACGCATTTAAAGTCATGAGAATAGATGAAGCGAACCTGATCAATTGTTGCTTTTCATTCACATATATTATTTAACGTGGTCGAATAATTCAGAGAAATGCTTTAACGAATAGACGACATTTGAAAGCATAATGAAGATTTACAATTTTTCAAAGATTTATTGCTTCAAACATTGAACTAATTTTTATCTCCTCTTTTGTAATCATTAAAGTGATTAGTTTATTAACTAAATATATCATAGTTGAATATGGATAAAACTCTTCTAATTCACCATATAGAAAAATAAATATTAACTGAAAAATAAATATAAAGTGTCACGTATTGTTAGTGAAGATTTCATGTCGGTGTTTTCTTCTTAGTAGACATATTTCACAAATCGTATAGAACAAAAAAAAATGAAATAAGGAAGATAAATAGAGCGAAAAAATGGACAAATTTTTAAAACAACATATAGCTGTAAATGTGTATGAGTATAAAGAAACCTTACAAATAAATGTTGACTAAATGATCAAATAAACCTTGCAAAAAAGTTAACACCTTTTTTATATTTCTTTTTATTTTTGAAACCTTCATAAAATTGAAACAGTGAATAATATTTTTTTTAATTATATACTTGACGAAGAAATCGTCATAGCTATTCTCCTAAATAATGTTGCTATAGAAATTTCATACGAACACTGTTATACGTTTTTTCATTTTGACGGCTGTCTACACGAAATACAGCATTCGACTTATTGCTTTTCGATCGCTTAGTTACCATCACTAACCATTAGTTACAATTCAAATCAGTTACTGTGTCTTAGTACCTGAGCATCATTTCGAATTGAAAAAAAAGCTTGTTGAAGTCATGAGAATGTAATGAGTGTATATCTGTAATTCGTTTTGTCATCATTCGAGCAACTTAAATATGCAGAAAAAAACAATCAATAACTAATAGTTTTCTTATATGATGATGTATAATTCCGTGTTAAGCGAACCCACTACTCCTCTCTAGGGTTCCTGAAGAACGGATCGTCAAAAATATTTGAAATTTTCACAGTAGACAGATCTGCATGAATAGAGCAAAATTTGTCATAGACCCTGAATTCTCATATACTTTCTTCTAGGAAATATCTGGATCGTAACGACTAAAAGATGCCTCGCTTTCTTAGTCGTAAAATACAAAACAAATTCTTCTGTATGTATCAGGACTTTCTTTGTTCCAACTATAGTGATCGAAAACTGACCGTGTTCGTCGGTGTTATCGTCAGAAGATTTTTGCATACAAAGAATACTCACAGAAAGTCTAGGGGTTTCGAGAGTTGGGTTTAATAAAAGTACTAACTAACAATGAAGAGCCTTCATTCATGTAGAATTTGACAGTGGACACTTTGAAGCTATATTCGCAATGAACAATCAACACTTGAAAAAATTTTGATTTTAAAATCCAAAAAAGGCAAGAGAGTCCTCTTAAATTTATCCACACCGGAGTCTCAAACATCTAGGAAACATTTTTGGCATAGTTTATATCAATCAAATAAGAGAGACGATAATAATCAATCGATAAACGTATCAAGAGTCTACTAAAACAGACTTAATATCACTCATGTCACACTTTTGTTTGCATCACTGGTCAGAGAACAATTACCGGTATATTATGGTAGAATGGTGGCCAGATAATAAATAACGTCCCAAACAGTGAATACTATTTGATTTTTTTGAATTCTTTGGATTTCTAAGTGTTCAAGATATTCTACAATGAGGTAACTTGAAACACTGTCACATACAATGTTAATGTTGACACTCCAAAAAACTGAATCTAACTTGATTTCCTTGAATTTCCAATTCTTGGACAGTGTGTATGTTTCATAACTAACGTTCAGACGTTCGTATATATATATATATGTATGTGTAGGTGTGTATAGACATCGCGTTGTACTGGTCTTGAGGGTCAAATAAGAATCTTTTTGATGGGACAAAAAAGAATCTAGTCTGAACTTCAAGATTAAAAAAATAGCCTTCACTGATCAATTAAGAAAAACAAGAAGCTAGAAAGAACCTCAATTATTGTCGCATAACAATGATCTTCTGTTAATAAACTATGTTGCACTATGGACAGTAACTAAAAGAGGCGATTGGTCTTTTTCATATTTTATGATTTTGTTCATAACGTAAACTTTCATTTATTTGAAATGTGAAAAATATGATACTAGTATGCATCTATATGATTCAAGGTTATTAATGATAAAAATTGTACAAACTAGCAAAGAAAGATACGAGTGTGTTTTCAGTTTATTTGAACAAGACTTCATTACATAACTAAATCAATATTTTACATTTCGGAGAAATATTATTTCAATCAATCGTAATCTTCACAATCTAGATATTATCAGCAGCTTTCAGAACTTAATAGAACTTTTTTAAAATAAATTCTGGTATCTGTTCTTGATTAGCACTTGAAGATGTGAATGTAGAACAGTTGTATAATAAAGCTGTTGAAAGAATAATATATTCGGGATAGATCCGATAGAAAATACTTATTCAATATCATTGATGTATTAATCAAAAAAGAGTCCTGTATAACAAAAAATGTTTTGAGAATAAATTCACTGGAAAAAAAATTAATCCAACGATAAATAACTCTTTCTTTTCCATGACCAAATTTTAAAGTCTAGAACTAAAATTCATCCAGCATTGCAATCATAGCGGTCTTTAATATATACACATCAAGTTCAAATCACATCGATTAAGTGCTAATATAGTTAACGTGCTAAGGGTGTAGCTGGGTGTATATGAAAAGGATACTTTTACCCACACTCGCAGTCCTTATCAACATGAGCATTGCAGAATAAAAAGAAAAGATATGCTTCGCAGAATGACATTGCATTATATTTACTTACGTTGAATATTTCTCCCTTTCGTTCTTCGTTTCTACAATGCGACGCAGATGGCAGATATGACACACATATATGTTTCCTGTTTTTTATTTTTAGTTATTTTCGAAACATTCTTTTCTTCTGGTATTGTTGAGATATTTTCTTCTCCTGTTCGTATTTCTTTCCAAGTGTTTTCATTGTTTTCCTAGCTTATTCACATATACATTGGTGAACGTTTGGAAAATAAAGGAAAAACTCAATATTGATCTGTTCGATCAGTCATGCGTTAACACTCTCTTATGGCACGATTCGATTACATGTCATAACATAGTATATTTGTCTGAATAGCAAATAAAAGTTTTATGAAGAATGTTATGTTTGGATTATTGATATAAAATCTACAATAGATGTTGGCATAAAATTAGTTTCTATATGTCATAGTGCTCAAGAGAATGAATCTTTAAAAAAATGGCACCTATAGGTGCCATTGGGAAAGAAAGTGTTAATTTGTATTGAGATGTATCTAGATTCATCTTATAAAAGATATCCTACTTACACATAAGATAGGATATAGAAAACGAAATATCCCAGAACTTTAAATCTCTCTAAAAAGAAAAGTCCTGGTGGTTCTTCAAACAATTAATATTAATCAATAGAAATGTATCTTATTAATAGGACGGACTATTCGTAAATAGAATTTTTATCAAAATAATAAATCTAAAAAATTTGATTGTTTTCTCTCACCAAGAAAAGAACAATTCATAAAAAAAAAATAATTAACAATAATTCCATTCTGGATGATCTTTTGGACGACATTCTTTTGGACATTCACCAAAAGGCATTTTTCCTCTACCACAACAAGGTCGTGGACAACCTATAAAACAATCTGTTTCATTTGCAGATGGACGTTGTGTTGGAAATGGTTCTGGTTTTTGACCATAATTATTTTTACAAAGAAAACTATCGTGAACAATGCTACTTGATTTCGCTTGTGGCCATACTTCACGGGCAAGAAATGTTTGATCTTCACGACCACCATAACGTTTTATTAAATTTCGATCATGAATTTTATTATGTATGAGACGAGACATTGTTGGATTAAGTGAAGGTCGAAAACCCCACATTCCACCAAGCATAGGTACTCCATGCATTGGATGATCACGCATAGCATGAAATGATTTATTGGAAGCAAGCCATGCATTAACAGCTGCACGTTCACGTTGTGTTAATGCTGAATCAAGATCACGGCTCATCACTTGAACAATAAAAAGAAAGAAGTATGAAATTCTAATAATAATTCATCAAACAAAATAACACTATGAAAGAGATAAACGGTGTTAATGTGATTATATTTCAAATATTATAAATTAGATGTGATATCATCTTTAGGACGTATGCTCTGAAATTTTATCATTTTGAGATGGATATTTTCGTCGTCGAACAAAAATGTTATGATGCTTGTGTTTCGTCGATGCAACAATATATGAAGATCCAAATTAATAAAATATTGAGTTGTTTGCAAACTGATTTCTATTACTATTAATTTATTATTTTTTTCTTAGTTGGGTCGTGCTTAAAATAGTGTAAGTTTTGGACTCATTTCTGTTTCAGACTTGAATTAAAATAACTGAGTTCAGAAAAATGTTCGTCCTAGACATAATTACTATAGTACACTTCAAAAGATAATCTGTGTGTAAAATGTCTATGCATATGATGTCTTTTTAATTTCCGACCATTTATAAGTCATTAGAGAGAATTAGAAATAAGTAATTTTTCTGAATAGTATTCTGGGATAGTTTTGACTTTCTGTTGTTGTAGACAATTTTGTTTTCTACAAAAGCATGGTTTACAATAAAATTGTTGTCTTGTAATGCAATAGATTTTGATCATTTGTAGTAATATGTAAAAAGATGAAGAGATTTGGTATTTTGTAGGCCAAACTTTGCTCTACAAAGTGATGCGTGAAAAGACTTTCTTATTGGTTGGATTGGTATAGTTTTCATCAAAATAATTCTGTTCCGACAACTTTTTTTGGTTCATTCTATGATTCATTTCAAAAAAGAGGAGCCTTGAGTATTTTTGTTTTGAATAGTTTTTAATTAATAGGAACAAGATAGAGAGTTGTGATTTTCACCATCACAAGAACAAGACTCAGGCACATAAATATGTGCCGAAATTCGACTGGTTAGCACTGAAACATTTAGATTAATTCTTCGTAGACATTTTGAAAACGATATTCTGGATCTATTTTTCAGCCGATTTCGATTCTCAATATGATCAGTAGATAAGAAGATTGTTTTCTTTCGATCTACACAAGGTCAACATTACTAGCTTGTTCCGTTCAAGCGTTATACAGATTTTCTTAAGACTTTTGCCTTCATCCAATTGACCCGAAATCATCCGAAAAAGCATCTAGGCACGGGTATTTCACCCTGCTGAGTCCAATGGTTATATTTGGTTTTAGATTTGAAATGATCTAACACTGCTATTTCACTATTTCCAAAGTTTCACAGTCTTTTGCTGTGTACCATAATAAGTCTGCATATCACATTTATTGAGATATCAATGTCAGATCACTTCGAATCCAAAAACAACTATAGCCGTTCAACTCAGCATGTGAAATTACCTGTACTTAGGTACTTTCTTGTGTGATCACAGGTTATGTGACTGAAATTCGGGATTTCAAGAAAATCTGTATAACACTTGAATGGAACAAGTTGACAATGTTGACCTTGCGTAGATCGAAAGAAAACAACTTTCCTATCGATCGATCATATTAACAATTGAGATCAGTTGAACAATGAGTTCGAAATATTGTGTTTAAAATATCCACCAAGAATTACTCTGATTATTCCAGTTCACGCCAATCAAATTTCAGCACATATTGATGTACTTAAGTTTTGTCTTTGTAATAGTGAAAACTGCAGCTCTCTATCTTGTTCTTATCAAAAATTACCCTACGACTCTTTTTTTCTTTTTGAAATGAATAATAGTTGACTACTTTTAATTCTCTTCAATGACTTAATAAAAGGATGAAAACTAAGCGAAATATATTGTGCAAAGACTTTTTACGGGCAGGTTACATGCAAGTTGTTATTGTACAAAACATTTGTCAGATATTAACATGTTTTTTTCCCATTATTTGTCTAACTTTCAATGTTTCAATGCACACAAACCTTCATTTTTATTCTTATATATTTCTTTCATTTATCTCGTAGTGTTTAATGAAGTTTATTTTTGATAAGTATGCATTGATAAAAATACTTACTAATATCAACAAGTGGATCACCAGCAGGTATAAAACGCCAGACTTTTGGTGGAATAAAAAGTTTAGAATTCATACTACAAAAATCAACATTTGGATTTTGACATTCTATAGGACATATAACATCTGTTAGAGTAATTGTATCATCATGATGAATACGTAATGTAAAATCATCAGGATAAATTATATTTATATCATTAATAAGTTCATTTAAAAAAGTCAGTGATTGATTATATTGAAACATTTTATTTTCTTTTGGTCCATAAAGACTAATAGAAATAATACGTTGATGTGGTCCACGTCGAGTAGCATAATCACTACAAAGAGGAGATTTATTTTCAATGAGATTTGATGTTAAATTAAAATCTAATGGAGGTAATTGATGTCTATAACATGTACATTCAGGTCGTCGACGATAATCATTATTTAAAACTGTTGTAATCAATGGTATCGGATATGTAAAACGAAATATCATAAATGTAATAAAAATACAGATAAAACATCCAAGTAGAAAACGAGTGCAAAAATGATTCATCATCGACGTCATTTATACTTTAATAATTATTTTGTAGCGATTGTTTTGTAAATTTTGTACTTCATTCTTCATTTTTTCTTCCTATAAGGATTTAATAAGCTTTAATTTATAGCATATGACAGTCTGCAAAATGGCAAAAAAAGAAAGTTTAATATATGTAGTAACATTATATCTTCTCTTCTCTTATTCCTCTTTTTTTTGCACACTTACTTTCTCTTTAATCTCGACAACGATAAAAGAAAAAAACAGAAGAAAAAAAGAAAAGATAAGAGAAAACGTACATCGATGTATCTATGCAATCATCTTTCTTTGTAAACTTAGTATTTTGAGACAATATTTTTTTTTTATGGTTTTGTTTTATTATCCATATGCCATGATGAAATCATAAAAAGAGAGTAACATTTGTTTTTTTAATCTTTGCTACATACTAAATGAATACTTATGTATAAAAATTAGAAGTTTATTATATGATCTTATATCAATAATAGTTTTCTTTAAACATTTCTTTAATTACGAAAAACAGAACAGCAAATAGTGAGTGTTTAGCTTATAAAAAGAAAGTTGATACAGTTCTATTTTCTAATTCATATTTCTTCATATATTATAAGCGTTTTATGTGACAATTAATTATAAGAAAAAAAAAACAAAATGCATTATAAAATGGCATGTTGTTTCTGAAATATGTTATTAGTTTACATATTTGAAGAAAAACGCTTCCAATGATAAAAAAATAGTAGTAATTAAAGTGAAAATTACACTAGAATTATGAGAATATTATCAACTAAATCATTCGAGATATGAATATCAATTGGTATTCTATCAAAGAATCTATAGTTAATGGTGATAATGGACAATTTGTAATCTCATTGTACGGTTTTAATTTTCAGCGGATATTTGCAGTAACTCTAGTGCCTATTGACCGATTTGAGTACTTTGTTTTTGTTTTGATCCACTATGTAACCCTCATTTTCCAGAGAAAAAAAAAGCAACTTTTTATCGTATGTTGGTTCTCAAGCTACGAAGTGCTAAAAGGATGAAAATCCTGATTCTTTGTACCATTTATCGATTCTCAAAATAGAGTTTCTTGTCATCGTCGGATCTTATTTTATAACTAAAATTTTTTACTACTTTTTAGAGGATACTTTAAACGTTCAGAGAATGTATATGTCTGCTGTAACATTACACTTTTCTTGATGATCTTTGATCTGACAGACATTTGTCGATTTCTTTCTTTCGCGAGATTAAAAATGTAACTGAGGGTAGACAGACTTATACAAAAGATTGAGTATGGTTTCAAATGATAGAGAAATGAAGACATTATCTTTCGATATAAAAAAAAAACAAAGTTTCGTTGCAGTGTAATTCTAACCAGAAACTAGGATATAAAAAATCAAAAATCATAATTGTCGTACTAAATGTTCCACAAGATTTTTCGGTTAATGTCTATACCCAATCATGAATAAAACCATAGTTATGTTATATTAATTGATTCCTCTTTGAAGGTACTATGCAGGGCTATTTAGAACGAAGCCTTCTCCAATACCAGAAAGTTTTTATTTTTTCTAGTGGAAATTTCTGTCGATCTAGCTGAAATTCATTTCGCATAACGTTTTTGTCTGGAAAAGTTACTGTAAAGGTGCAACGACAATACAACATGTGCCATTGAATTCATCTCACCGAGATTTATCAAACTTTATATCACACTTTTAGTTTATCACCATTATTAATGGTTTCTTGAAAATTGACCTCAGGGATTATAACGACTCTACATGGCCATTGGCTTCATAATGGTAGTCGAGAAACTTTTTTCCTCTTCTCTCGTAACATATAATAACAAAATTAATGAGTCAGAACATTTTAATTCGGAATTTTTGTTTTTTTGTTACAAACAATACAATGAGTTTGTAAGTCGTCTTTGTATACTAGTAATGGATAGTTTACCTTTGTTGATTAATGAATATGTGCCAGTATTGATCATACGACTGTTCAATTGTAAAGTTCTTACAAATCAATTAGCTACTTGAATCATTTAGTAGCTGTCTTTTAAGTGTATCTATGTATTAACAATCTTTTATTCAATCTAATCATATATAACAAATAAAATTCAAGAGAAAAAGAATTATTTAATGTGTATGTTAGTAAAGCCTTTGACACATTAGAAGTTCCTCCCCCATCTTCCCATAATAGAAGACCCTCTCTTGGATAAATGAAGCAGTAGGCATCCCTCTAAGAATCGATTCTTTTCAAATAATTCCCACAGCTTATTGTTGGTTTTTTTAGTATTCATATCCACAATGATATCTAAGATCAATATAGACAATATTTTGCTGCCATCATTATAACGATTTGTTAGTTCTGAGTTAGAAAAAAACCAGCTAATAGGAAATAACAGTCTATTGAAAAGTGTATTTCTTTATTGAGAACATATCATGGAGTCACTTCAGCACTCTTTTTGCAGCATAATATGAAAAAAAATCCTTTAAGTTCTCTATACGAAAAAAAAACATTCCTATGCTCATTGAATCTAACTGGAGCAGCGCATATTCGCATGAATTACACGTGAACAGAACTTTCTAAACTAGAAACATATTCAGTAAAATTCTATTGTGTATTAATTAAAAGACCTCTGCACCACTGCACTTTCTTCTAGAAAATTCAGATATGTTTTTATCACAAAACAGCGCATTCATAATTGAAGAAAACATATCTTCAGCTATGCACGTCGATATTTCTTCTATGAAGTATTCATTTTGAGTCAGAGAACATATTTCTTTTCGCAAAAAAGATCTAAAGGTATTTGTCGAAGTACACGCATATAAAAAGACTAAATGTACACCTAACTCTTCTTCTCAGACAACCATATATATTGAAGTTAGCTTACGACTAATAGCTATGCTAGGGGTACATTCCACTTGAACGAATTCCATCTAAATCATTCAAACTTCAACATAAACAATTGTACAACAAAAAAATTAATATCTTTTTTTTCATAGTTTTTTTCTCCGTTCTTTTTTATTCTACGCATGTGTGGGATAATAATTGAGCTAAACTCGTTTACTAACAGTATATTGAGAAAAAATGAATTGAAATTGTATTTAAACGCTATAAGTATTCTGTCAAACGCATGGTTAGGTCAATTAATCAAGTCTACTTCATGCTTGTCGATTACAACATTGATTAGATTTATTTTACACTATTGAATGTTAGTTCAGATATATTAAAAAATATTTAAAAAAAAATATTTACACAGTAATAATGCAAAGATTATTCCACTTGTAAGCACCTTTTCAAAAAATATTATAGCAGGTGTTTGCATAAGAAACAAATTAATTTTATTCTGTTTTTTTTTGAAGGTCTTATGCAAGAGATCTACGAGGAGTTGAATTTACCCCGCTTATTTTGTTGTTTATCAAGTTATTAAAACATAAGTACCATTGCTTCTTGTACCATCTTTAGACTCTTTATTGCTGTAAGTGTAGATAAGTAAAACAGAATAAATTTAAGTTCTCGTCGATCGATGGGTATGATGTTCGTAGAAAAAGAATTCAAAGACAAAACAGACATTGTATATCATTACGTAAAAGAAATAACATCAAAAAACCTAGATAGATCATTATTTCTCTTTGATAAACTCTTACTTAATATCTTTTTGTATCTTCAAATAGAATTGATTTTAAAAACAAATTTTTTTAAATTTTAGTTCGATTCATTGGTATTGTATAATTCATCCATATAATGTTCGACTATGAATCTTAGTGCTATTCTTTTGACATGTTTCCCATCAAATATCATGTTGTTATTAACACAATATTCTTCTCAAATAAAAAGAATTGCTTACCTTGTTAACAAGTTAATGTCATTGTTTTAACTAATAAAAGATATGCCGTACATATCTATTGTAAATTTCTTGTATAGATTTGAAGTTGCTAATCAATGAATTAATGTAG